TGTGTGTGTGTGAGAGAGAGAGAGAGAGAGAGAGAGAGAGAGAGAGAGAGAGAGAGAGAGAGAGGTGTGTGTCTGTCTGCCTGCACCGACTACCCCCAAGCATCACCTTTGGAACTTAAGTCACCATGCTGCAAAAAAGTGTAAACTAGAGACACAGCACGGACAGATCAACCAAGACACCCAGCTGACATCATCAACTACTAAACATTCAAGTGAAGAGCCTTCAGATTTCAGACTCCAGCCTTTCAACTGTGGTCTGAGGGACCATGGAGCAGACGAGCTCCTGCTGTGCCAGTCTGAAAACTGATAACCCACTGAATTTGAAAGCAAAATAAACTGTTTTGCACCACTGGATTTACGCAAATTTGTTTTGCAGTCAGTAATTGAAATGTAATAAAAGCAAATTCACTTTGAAAACTGCAAACTGCTTAAGAACTTGCAGAAACTGGGGCTGGGAGATAGATGGGTTAGTGAGTAAAGTGCTTGCTGAACAAGTATGAGACCTGAGTTTGGGTCACGAGCATCCACCCAAAAAGCTAGGGGCTGCAAGGACATGTGTAACTACAGCACTGGATGGAGAGTGCAAAACCAGCTGGATCTCAGGACCTCACTGGGGTCTAGGGTAAATGAGGATGAGCTCTAGATTCAGTGAAAAACCTTTTTCCAAACATGTGGTGAAGAAATGATAGAAGACCCTCAACAGACATCAACTTTGGCTTCCATACGTATACAAGTGCATGGAGGAGGTATCCTCTTCCCACCATACACACACACACACACACACACACACACACACACACACACACACACACAGCCCTTTCATCAATCTATACTCTCAGGAAACTCGTGGGTTTCTCATGTAATTCTGAACAGATTTCAAATTTGGCGACAAACAAATGGATGGGGTTAGAGAGAATGAATTTTAACGTAATGAATGCCAGAAGCATTGCCATTACTGGAAGTTCTTACAAACCACCAATATTTTGCTAAGTACTTTATAGTATCATTCCATTTAATATTAACTACACTTAGGAAGGAAACAGACATAGGACAGTAAGAAAGTCTGTCTAAGACTACACAAGAAAAAAGATTTTAATCCTGGGAAAGGAGGGACAGCTTGATTGGTAAAGTTCATGCCACATAAATGTGAGGACATGAGTTTGGTACCGAGGATGGATCGTTGGAACTTGCTGGTGATGTTATCTAGCCCAAACACTGAGCTCTTGGCTTATTAAAAGACCCTGTCTCAAAAAGAGGGTGAGCACTAGACAACAATGGTTTCTGCAAGCACATGCAAGCACACACACACACACACACACACACACACACACACACACACACACACACACACACAGTCTAATCCTAGCGTGCCTTTAAAATTTCTGTAATGGTCTGAATGTATGGGAGCTCTTATGAGTTGACTCATGCAGTTCTTGTGTGGGGAGGCTGCTATCTGCAGTTTTTTCTCTTTCTCCACTAGTACAGTTGGGGGCACTCATCAAATGTGGCTGTCTGGTTTTGTTCTGTGCAACCTCCAGAATTGTGCACCAAAATAAGGCTCTTTATAAATTAGTTGGTCTCAGGCATTGCTAACAGATAACTGACTAGGACAACTCCTGGCCTAGCTTACTGTGTGGAATTCATGATGCATCATTGCTGGACAGATAGTAACAAGAAAAATAATGACAACTGTAATTGTGTCATCCATTGCTCACAAGATACATGAAGAAGAGACACTACACTGTCCAGATGGGTGATGACAATGTTTTGGAATCAAGGATGCACAGCTCATTCTATTCTATCACTAATGAAGACTGAGGATGTATATGATCTGAACAAAGGACCACACACTAGTTATGAGGAGCTTTATTAAGGAGCTCCTTTTGGCCCCACTAAAATGTCCTGTTCTAATCTTTAAACATACTCAGAATGTATTTCCAGGTTAAGTCGTTTGCTGTTAGCCCAGCTATGTTAAGTATGCACTGTAACTAGCACTAAGATTACAGCTACTTAGAGGTGCAGACACTAAAACAATTCTTAACCTTGACTAGTGTAAGGACTCAGGTCTAAGTTGAAGTCTCCACTTCAAGGTGACAAGAAGTTCAAGTTTACTGTTTTCTTCCTTCAAGGGGTTCCAAAGCTTTGATTCTCACCGTGACAAGTGCCCACCTGGCTTGGACTTTTCCCTTTTTGATAAATCCTTCTTTCTGTATTTCCAATAAATACACCCTTTTTCATTGTCAAGGTTTTTGTTTCTTATAAACATTAGTGAGCATCACTACAGAGAGTCATGACATTTGAGTTTAGCAAAGGTGACCTGTCTGGCCTTAATCAGGATTCTGGGCAGGCATTTTACTTTGGGAATTGATTATGGTTCATCACCACTCCGCAGAAGATGCAGCCATGTTACTACTGATAGGAAGAGGCAGTGAGAACTGGGAGGTCATCTGCACTTCTGGAAGTGAACAAACATGAGATAATGAAAACTAGAGGAAAATGGTCCCTGGATTCTTTCTGGCGATTATTCTGGGAGGAGAAATGGAGGGAGAGACACACATGCACGGCTATGATCTATTAAGAACATAGGGTAAGCATTAACATGGGGTATAAGCTAGTATGAGAGAATATGAGAGGGAGAAATTACTTATGACTCTTTAAGTTTTGCCTTTTGGTTCTTCTGAGACAGTCTTGCTAGTAGCCTAGGCTGGATTGGAACTTGCTGTATATAGCCCAGGTTAGTCTCAAATGTCTGATCCTCTCATTTCAGCCTCCTGCATGCTGTGATTACAAGCAAGAGATCAGACTACAGGAGGCATCAGCATGCCTGGCTTTGACTTTCTAAGTCTGGAAAGGAGATGAAGTTAAGCACTGCATTCTAGTTAATCACTTCACAGAGAACGACAGAAGAAAATAAGAATGAGACTAAATTAATCTGCTTTAGATTATAATTACTAAAAATTAACATTTGAAAACGTATTTCTCTGAATTTCCTTTTAAGCTAAATAGCATAGTATAATGGGGGGGGAGAGATAGTGAGATTGAGATTGATTGATTTTGATTATAAAAGATGGCTTGTGGAATCACCTAAATGGAATGATATAGTTGTGACTAATGATCTATGGTTTTATTTAAAGATTATTATATTAAGATAGTGTGCACTTGTGGCTCTCATTAACAAAAGAATAGAATGAAGCTGACGCCTGTCATTAAAAGGTTTCAGTCTAGTATATACTTAGTATCAAAAGTCATGTAATTACCAGGGAAGTTGTTGAATGTGAACTAAGTTAGAATCTAACATCTGGACTTGAATTAACACTTGCCTCTGCACCATCAGTTGTCAATGAGTCAACTGGACATCAGTCCAGTTGAGACTGCGGTGACAAGAGCTATAGGAAGCTAACTGGAATACGAGGTTGATAATAACTTACAAGTAGATGTCATCTGTCCTTGCTATCAGACCTTAGCCTGTACATCCCCTAGTTCACTCAGGAAATATGTCACTTAGACCTCAAGGTATTGCATCCCTCTCTATGTATGTCAGTAGAGACAAAAGATAATCAGGAACTGGCCCTTGTTTAAGGCAAAATTCAGTCATCTCAGTGGGAAAATGCCATATTTCAAAGTTTGTCAGACAGAAGACAAACAGAAGTCTGAAAGGTACCTAAGAGGTCAAGTAGTAATTGCCACTGACACAAAGAATGGCTCTTGGCCTAGTTTGGGGGCAGAGAGATTGATTTCCTGGAGGAAGTAATTTCTTAGTTGAAAACTGAAGGGTGGCAAGATGGCTCACTGGGTAAAGGTGCTTGCTGCCAAGCCTAAGGACTGGAGTTCGATTCCTAAATCAAACTTCTGACTCACACGAAGGAAGGAGGGTTAAATGGTAAGTAGAAGACAATCCTGTTTTTATGGGCATAGGAGAGCGCTTCTAAGGGAGAACCAACTACATAAATTTGCTGGAGCAATATCCCCAGCTCTTCTCATCCTTTTCTTCTTCAAGTAGAATAAGCAAACACTGGGAAATAAGCCTGTAGACAACCGACCAACTTGCTAAGAAACACTTAAAGACAAACTATCTTAAAAGCAAGTGGGAGTTTTAAGTACAACAGGTTTAAATTTCAGACATGTTACTCTAGATCAGTGGTTCTCACCCTGTGGGTCATCATGACCCCTTTGAGGGTCGAATGACCCCTGAGAAAGGTATTTACATTACAGTTCATAACAGTAGCAAAATTATAGTTAAGAAGTAGCAATGAAATGGTTTTGTGGTTGGGGGTCACCACAACACGAGGAACTGTATTAAAGGGTTGCAGCATTAAGAAGGTTAAGGACCACTGCTCTAGATGTACTGGGTGCAATTAGAAAGAAATTAGATGTGGAAACCAGTTAATGAAGCTCTTACAGTAATTCCAGGTATGCGGATATACTGACCTGAATTACCTGTGGCAACAAAATTAAGTGATTGGCTTGGAAATTTTTAAGGTCTTAATGACTAATTTGATCCAAAGAGTGAAAATACAGAGAATTTAATGGAACATATTTTTGGCTTGGGCAATTATGAAGTTGGTAAAGGCAAATTTTTACTTAGATTCTCAATACAAAAAGAGGCAGTTTAAAGAAAAACCAGGAGGCTATTACTTCTTAGGAGAAAAGTCTTGGGGTGACTGAAAGGTTAACAAGTATTAACTGGTTTTCAGTTAATATTTAGAAAGTAAAAATTAGTAAGGCTTGGCAATTGCCAAGATGTGAAGTGCATAAAGTTTGGAAGGAGTCAGGAACGGCATTTGAATTTTGCGTTAGATGTGATGGGTGACCACTGCGGCACACAATCAGGCATAAACTCTTCCTCTTCTGGTCTCGGTATGAGCATTTCTTTGCGATGCAATTCTGTCACTTCTCTCATAGGCGGGAGTCTATTTACCTGTGGCCTTCTCTTCAGCTTCTCTTTGACAAGTCTAATGTGATGGAGTTGGGATGTTGAGACAGTGGGAGGATCTTGCTTTCTATTTTCAGCCTTTGTCTCCCAGGAGGGAGATGTGATTTCCATGGCAAGGTCTTAAGAGGCACTGTAAGCTTTTGCTCTTTTGGAGTGTTGTCCTGAGCTGTCTGTGAAAAGTGAGTTAGTCCATTCTAGTGGGGGATGAGAGGTTAAAAGCAGCTAACGGCACCGATTATGAATTATGGTAGCTTTAGATTTTTAGTTAACTGACTAGCTCAAATCAGTGCACACATGAGGGAGCTGCTTCACCAACCTAAAGGGTGGTTAAAATGTTTAAGACATTGATTTTGGGTTTTTCTTGGGGCGGTCCGTACTTAGAAAGCCATGGTCTATTGAAATTTAGAAAGTAGTATAGAAAGTAGTTTGAACTTGTAGTTGTGCTAAGAAACCACTAATCTCTAAAGTCTACAAAGTTTAGACGGATGTTTCCCTACGAGTTAGGGCCTAAGTAATTTCTTAAGTACCAGGTGTCTGAATAACAACATTGTATTGCAATGTGAGAAGTCAAGAACCTACCAGTTGGACAAAGTAACAAAAGTAGAGACAATGTTTACAAATTACTTTCTTTGTATGAAAAAGTATAAGTATTTATAGACTTATGGTATATTAACTTTCTAAATCTTGGACAAATCTCTTAAATACCCTAAGTAGAAGACATGTAAACAAGGATGCAAACTTCCATAAAGGAGTTTACCGATATATACTTGTTTCATAAGCAGCTAAGTAAGTCAAAATTAGGTTTTCTCCTTTAAGAGATTCAGAATCCATGCATTTTTGTTAATGAAGAAAAAGGCTTGTCTGGACCAAAACCACGAAGATGTCCCTTTAAGGTTTGGGAGTCTTGTCGTAAGCAATGGGAGTTTCATTCATTTCTGTCCCATTAAAAGAAACTTCCCTCCTTTCTACGCATTACTGACTTTATGTACCCACTGCGTTCTTGAAAAAATCGATTTGAGCTGCCTGAAGTGAGAAGACCATCGCCTCTAGAGCTCCAGCCGGAATTCTATCTGCCACGTCTCATTCCGGATGGAAGCGGCCACTAAGGAAGTCCGTTCCAAGGGCGGTCCCCGGCGTGGCCGCGGGTTTGACCTTTCTCATCCGAGCCCTCCGACGGGCCCTGAGGCATCCACAGAGGCGACCCACACTCACCGCTTGAAATGCAGTCACTAGCAGCAAGCGCAGCCCCAGAGCGGGCCGCAGCCACCCAGCCTGCCGGGCCGCCATCCCTGCGGTCCCCCGTCAATCTTCAGGGGCTTGAGGACCCCTGGACCGGGGACGTCCACTGCAATGCCTGATGCGAAGCCTGCCGCGAGAGGCCACTGCCACGAGTCTGTTATCCTACAGAGGCGAATATTAGTTAGGCGACCAAAGGAACAGAAAAGTGATCGATTATTAGAAAGTCGTCAGGTTCTTTCAGAGATTAAAATCAGGCACTTTCTGAAACTCCCCACACCGGTACTTCTCATTCACGACAGTATGTCGGATCTCTACGAAGCCCCAGAGCCTCCATTACTAGCCCCGCCTCCCTCTCTGAATTTACCCAATCAAATACCGCCTTGCTTGAGTCCTCTGTCAAGGAACCCAACCGTAGATCGAATCAAAAGGGCGCTAAGCGGCCGCTCTTCGGACCAATGAACGCCACCGTACGGGAGGATGGGGGTGGAGCCTCTGGTTGCCGGGCAGCGTGCGTCAAGGCGTGCGCGTGGTGGCCGAGGGGGAGGGGAGGGGGCGGGCCGAGGGCGGCGCAGCCGCAGCCGCAGCGGTGCAAGAGGAGCGCGCGGCCGCGAGCGACCGAGGGAGGGAAGGGAGGAAGCGAGGGAAGAGGGCGTGCGGCCGCGGGGTCCCGAAGCCAGGCGGCAGCGGCAGGAGGGCGCCAGGGCCGTCGGGTGGGCTGAGGAGAAGCGTGCACCGGGCGGCCGGCGCTGGCTCCTGCGGGCGGGAGACCGGAGCGGAGGAGGGGGTCGCTGCGGCTCGGCAGTCCGCGCAGCTCCCGGGTCGGGGTCTCCTCCCGGCGCCTCGGTCGCCCGCGGGGCCCCGCTCCCCGCCCCCCGCGGTATGTCTTGATCTCGAGCAGCGGGTTTCATGGGGCTCCTCAGGATTATGATGCCGCCCAAGTTGCAGCTGCTGGCGGTGGTGGCCTTCGCGGTGGCGATGCTCTTCTTGGAGAACCAGATCCAGAAGCTGGAGGAGTCCCGGGCGAAGCTAGGTGAGGCAGCCGAGCGGTGCTCCGGGCCCGGGCTGGCGGGTGGGCATTGCCGGCTATAGCAAGTGGGCGTCCGCAGGGGTCTCGGGGAGTCCCGAGAGCTGGGACCCAGGCACGTCGAGCTCCCGCCACCAGGGAGTGACGAGCTGCACCCGCGGGGTCTCCGGCCGGAGGGCTGCCCCGTCGGCCCTCCACGGAGAGAGGGGACCGAAGTCTGCATGGAGCTGGTTGCTGCTTGGAGGACACGAACGTTCATCCTCTGGTCCCTTCCAGTCGTTCTGGAAAGCCCCAGCTACATGCAGCGATGGGGACTGGAATTTGAATTAGGGGCACCTGGGCACAGGGTCGTTTGGGGGTGGTGGTCGTGGGGAGGTTCATCGAGGGAGATGGGCAGAAATGGACGGAGTCTCCGGGAATGATGGGGAGTAAATGCAGCTCACTGTAGCGAGTGGCATGCCTGAGCCGAGGGCAGCAAGGGACCTTAGAACTGACACTGTGGGTAGGCTGGCCATGTGGGACAGCGGAACAGATGAAAAGCTCTGACGGTACCGCTATGAGAAGTCTGGGGGACTGAAGTTCTTGATGAGTGACGCTGAACTGCCTGATGATTTGGGCTTCAGAGTAAGGTCGTAAGTGTAGGTGATTGCATGTACAAGCGTTGAAGGTTCGGAATTACGGTATTTACCTGGGAAAAGGAATCGACTGGGGAAAGCTAACCATATGGGTATCTTAAAGCGTTTCTGTCAGTGCTGGAATGGGTAAAGACGCCTGAAACAGTAAACTGGAGTGTGAAGTTGTGCAACAGCAGACGAAAGCGCGGATAGACGGTGCTTCCGGATAGTGGAGAACTTTGGTATTTGGAAGTGCTGTGGAAACAAGGAGACTTAATGACTGACGCGTTTTGATTTAAAAATGTACATGGCACTTAAAAATCAGCTCGGGTTGTAATTTGAATATGGGAAACGGTTCTTACATACACTTTTCACCTAGCCAGCTTCTTAAATACTATTTAAAGTTACTCCAAGGAACAGCTAGATGTAACTGGGGGTGCTCATTAATTTTTTTAAAAAGCACCAGAAAATAATTAAATTTTAGATATAGTCGCTATTTCCAAGTTTTGGTAGATCTTACAAAAGCCTTGAACACATTTTAAAGAATAGTGTTATCAAAGAATGTTAAATGCATTTGATTTATGTACAGCTACGTTTAAAGAGGAGCCAAAGCTGCTAGAGTGAAATGTGAAGACCAATTGAATTTATTTACTGTAATTTAAAAAGATTTTGTATGCTAAAAGTTACTCACTTTAAATGTTGAAGGTTAAACCATCTGATCCCTTTGCTTTTCATACGGCTCCGTCTCCACAGCATTTACAGTCATAGTCTGCTTCATTCATAACCCGATTTTACAGGAAGAGAGTGACTCATCTTAGAAGTTAGTTAAAAACCAGGATTTGTATTTATTCTTTTTTGTGTTGTTATTTGGAATTCTCTAGATGTAATTTCTTAGAAACACTGCAGATTTTCCTCCTTGCCTACCTTTTTTTTTTCCTGCAGTGTTTGAAAGTTGTTTCTGTACGCCACCTGAATGATTTTAAAAGCAAACTTCTATACGCCAACGGAATGATGTAGAATGCCACAGGTAGAATAATGTGCTTCCTTGTGATTTTCATTTAAGACAAAAAAAATCCTTTGCCAGGAATAATAAGCGTGCGTCAAAATAAATAGCTATACGGGAAACAGCAAATATCTACCAGAATAATCCAGGGCTGACCATGGGGGTCAGGCCTGTAATTCCAGCACTCTAAAAGCTGATGCCAGAGGATGGTAGGTTCAAGACCAGGATGTGCTGCTACATAGCCCTAACCTGTCTTTAAAAAAAAAAAAAAAAAAAAAAAACAGCTCTCAAATGTAAAAACACCAAAGTATCTGGAGATACAGGCAGGACAGAGAAGATGTATATACCTTTATGTCAGTTCATTAATCTTCTGATTAGATTTTTTTTCTAAATATTTTTATTTCTAAAAGACACAGGTTCTGTGAGTTGTCCAGGGTCCAGGCCTCCGTTGTTTTTCCTTCCAAAGCCTTGAGTAACTGTAGATGCCCTTCACCCGGCCTCCTTCCCACTCCCACCCTTTCAAAAATAAGTCTTGTTTAAGAGGCAGTACTGAAAGAGCCAGTGTCCATATTCTGACTCCTCAGGAAAGAAAAAGGGTCAGGCAGTCACTAGGTAACTTCCGTCTGTGATATTCTTATTTAGTCTTCCAAGAACCCTAGAGATACCCATTTTTCAGATACAGAATAATCCTTAAAGTATATAATTTGCCCAAGACTGTATCGCTAGTGGCAGAATCAGAATTGGAACTCAGGTATGTTTGATTCCTAATTGAGGACTCCTGTAATTACACCAGGCAATTTCAGACTTTCTACTGACATTATACTACAATTGAGCTGTTTGAATAGCATTTATAAATTGTATTATCAATGCATGTATTGCTGAGAATGAATATCATTCTGAGAAAACTCAATTTCTGACACAAAGGAATTGGTTTAATGTCTTGCCCCTTGTTTATATCCATGTAATGAGCATAATTATATTACTCAATGAAATGGACTGAAATAGCTTGTTTCTGCTATTGAAAAAGAAAATCTTTGGTTGTTTGCTGTAATTGTAAAACTGCAACATTAAAAAGCATTTTTAGTTTGGCACAGGAAAGCTAATGAACATTTTGCCCTTAAAAGTAGTTTTTGTTGTTTATTTTTGTTGTTGTAGAAGATTTCAAAGGATTGTAATGTCTGTTAATGACTGTAATGTGACTTGGTTAAAGTCAACAATATCCTGATGGTGAGGGCTCCAGTAAAGCAATAGGTGTATTCAAAAATACAGTGTATTCATTGGCCTCTTGGGAAATTACCTAAATAGAAACTCCTAAAGCTCCCAGTATTATAGTTTTCTACTTTATAGGTTTTTTTTCTTTAAAGCAAATATTCCTACAGTTTATTGTTATATATTACCCTATAGCTTGTTTTTTATTTAATATTATAGATCTCTTTCTATGTCAGTACATCTAAATCTCACACATTCTAATGGCTGTATAATATTCCAAATTATGAATGTATCCTAAATTATTATATCAGTATTAAGTAGTCATTGTGTCTCTGCAACCTCCCCCACTTCTAAGGCTTTTTTTCTTGTTATTATAAACAACGTTGAAAGCATCTTTATGTGCCTCTCTTTACCTATTAATGTCATTTTTTCACTAGGGGATGTCTGGGTCAAAGGATACATATTACTTGCCATTTTTTACCCCCAAAGGTTACAGTTACCTATATTGCCTATATTGCTAGAATTCTCGTGCTTGGGTTTAAATTTTGCCACTCTGAGGTTGTGAAATGATATGTTGTGAAATTAACTCACATTTTTAAAATTTTTTGTTAAAAATCTTTACATTGTTGATTGCATTTTTTTTTTAAATGGACAAATGATTTTTTTTTTAAAATTTATTATGTATACAGCATGTATGACTGCAGGCCAGAAGATGGCACCAGATCTCATTACAGATGGTTGTGAGCCACCATGTGGGTGCTAGGAATTGAACTCAGGACCTCTAGAAGAGCAGTCAGTGCTCTTAACCTCTGAGCCATCTCTCCAGCCCCTATTGATTGCTTCTTAATTGTTAGTTCTTGTTCATTGGATAATTTGCTACTTTTTTGTTATTTGGGTTTTTAAATATTAAGGTAAGTAATTTGTCAGTTCTTATATCTGCTTTTCTCTAAGGCTGCATTTGTCTCTCAGCTGTGGTGTATTTTGCTTATACAGACAGGTTAATTTTACACAAATTTTATCAATGTAGGCAAGTAGTTTTCAGGTTAAGACTTTCTTGAATCAAGATGGTGTATATTGTCTATACTTAAGTAGAATAGTTTATAGTTTTTATTTTTCATTTACCCTTTAAGCCATTTATTTATGTGCAGAGATTTATTATGTCTTTTGATGAATAACCACATATGGCAAATCATCTGCTTTTTCCCCTGTAAATCATGTTATTCATGTGCTAAAGTTTTGTGTTCTCTTAGCTCAGTAGGTTTTGTACTCTAGTCTTTTTCGCTAACATGAAGTTCTTTAGTTTGAATTTAGTAAAACTGTCTACATAGCTCTCATCAGATTTATAAAGGATGATATGATTCCCTATACTGGTTAAAAAATAAAATCACAAATACTTAATACAGTTTGAGCAGCTCTAGTCAGAACTTTG